GGTGACACCCCCCACCCCCGCTGCGCCCTGCGCGGGGGTTCAGCCCGGAGAGCTGCTCCGGGGTCCTCTGGGCTCTGCCCCGCCTGCGCCGGGTTCCCCAGTCTCCTGCCCGGCGGGACGGAGAGCGGGCAGCCAGCCCTGCCTCTCGTCCCCTGCGGCTCTTCGGGGCTCCAGAGAGACGCTGCAGTAAAGGTCTAGACCAGGGCTACTCAACTTTGGAAACCCTGGGGCTACAATGATCCTCACAGCACGTGCCCAGGGCCGCAACTTAAGTGTGGTTGCATGTACATGCAAATAGCATCTTTCACACTGAGGGCATGAATACAAAGATGAAGGTAAGTACACATTTAAGTCAGGCCTGCTGATATTAATAAAATGCAATATTTACCCGATTTCCACCCAGATGACAGCACTTTTAATGAGCTATGACAGTCCAGGAGTTTAACTACTAAAATGCACATCAACAGAAGACCATTAGATTGATTCCATTTTTGTTTAGTCCAGGAGTTTAACTACTAAAATGCACATCAACAGAAGACCATTAGATTGATTCAATTTTTGTTTAGGCTCCCACCTGCAGGCTACATGTTGAGCCCCACGTAAACCCAGACTGCACTGTGGGCCACAAACAAATGGACTGTGGGCTGCATGCGGCCCACAGGCCACCTGTTGAGTAGCCCTGGTCTAGAGAGAGGCAATCCCCAGGGCTGGGCTTTACTGCAGCACTTTTCCCAGACTGAATAGGAATGACTGGGAAATTGGTGTCTTTTCGCATGGTTGGGGTGGGAGATCTGAAGTGCATCGGAGACTCATTCTGCTGCTCAGGAGTCTCAGAGCAGCATCAGAGTGGCTCCTATAGTCTGCAGTCTCAGGAAGGCACCTGTTGGTATTGAGCCTCATTGGGAAAGTACTCCCAAGTGGTGAGGATCTGAGCTACTAGGTAAAGTTTAAATTCTACAGAAATTACTGCAGAGCCGCCTGTGCTTTCCATAGAAAGTTCCCTACTGGCATTGATAGATTAGCCACAGGGCCAGTGGGGTCCATGCCCAGGAATCCTGGCCTGTTGGGAAGGGCTTAGAAAAATGGGTGCCTGACCGGCTCCGCCTGACCATCCAGCACTCCTGACAGTGTGGTGGCTTCCCGCATCCCAGCAGAAGTGCCAGGCAGGCAGAGTGGGCAAGCCCCCACTTCCATGGTAGGAGCACAGGGGATGGGGAGGCTGTAGGCAGAAGTGTTGGGGCTTTTGTGGGGCTCGCAGTAGCCCCCCAAAAAGCCTGTGGAGCACACATGGCCCCATACAAGCTTCCATCTGTGTCTGGCCACTTGCAATGGGTAGCTTTGGAGCTCCGTTTTTCTTCTTATCTGCAAATAGCCCTAATGTTTCACTTTTCCCATGTTCGTTTCCATGCTACCACAGTTTTTGGCTCATGTTTTCCTTGCTTCTTTTCAGTTCTGTGAGGAGTTTAAGGAGAAGTGTCCCATCTGTGTCCCCTGTGGTCTGAAACTGGCAGAGAAAACCCAGACAGCCATTGTCAGGCATTTTGGTCTTCAGATCTTGGAGCATGTGGTCAAGTAAGGGAGCTCATTTAGACTGCATGGATGTAGTGATATCCCACACTCTGGAGAGCTTTTTATGGAGAGAGAACAGGACTCCCCTGTTGTCAGTTCTGACTATTTTTTCCCAGATGTTTGTTGGTTACAGCAGTGGACTGAGTATCAGGATATTGGGTTCTATACTGAGCCCTGTCACTGACTCAGTAGAGGACTGAAGGGAGCAAGTCACTTCCCATTGCTGTCCTTTCTCCTTGTCTCTAAAACGGGGCTAATAGCAAAACACTGCAAGAGAGGCATGCAGATTAATTTCTGGCATAGATCTTGGACAAAAGACAGATAAATGAAAGTACCTCTCCACTATATAGCTTGGGGATTCTGCTCTGTTGGCGCCACAAACCCAGTATTCTGTGTTCTTGCTCCTTTTCCTGTAGATGTTAATGAAGCCTGCCCATTCCCTGAACTGTGCTGTTCTCAATGGTGCAGGTGATCTAACTGGGCAATAATTGTACCTTTGACCCATGACGTTGCTCAGTCTTTTCACTAAGGGCTTGGGTACTGGCAGACCAAGTGAGCAATGCAGCTCCAGCCTCCCTAGCCTGGGAAAAGAGCTGATGGTTTACTAAGACAAGTCAGTGATCTGTCCCAAAATGTTGACTTGGTGTCCTCTATGTGTATTGTTGGCCAGGTTTCGCTGGAATGGCATGCCTCGTCTCGAAAAGGTCTATTTGAAGAACAATGTCATGGGGCTCATATCCAATGTAAGTGCTAGCTGCATTCAGGTAGCATATGGAGCACGCTCATAGACATTAAAACCAGAAGGGATCAGCATGATCATCTACTATGACCTCCTGCACGCTGCAGGCCACAGATGATCACCCACCTGCTCCTGTAATACACCCATCATCTGTGGTAGAGTTCTGTCACTTCGTAGAGGTGACACATGGAGGTGAGGAGGAAGAATGGCCATTGTTAAAGTACAGAAGGCCCAACTTCAGTTTCAGGCTATCCCATAAACTTGCTGTATGACCCTGGGGTAGACACCATTTCCTTCTGCACCCCAGCATACTGCTCTGTAAAACGTGGCTAGCTTAATCACCTCACAAGAGCTGGGGGTTGTGAGGTTTGCTTCAGATCTACAAAGTGCTTATGCAGTCCTTGGATGGACGGTTCTATAAATGCAGAGATTGTCACTTGTTCAGGTGACGTATAGTGCTCAGTGCTACAAAATGCATCTCTGAAGTGAGGATTTCCTCCGCTCTTCTCATGAATGCTAGATATTGGCATCAAAGCCATATCCTTGAATCCTGTAGAGAATGCGGTTTGGTCTGGTACTGTAAATTATAGTTTATGGAAAAGGAGAATTGTGGCTTGAACCCAAAAGTGCTTTTGAGTTCTAGACTTCCCATTTGGCCACTGTAGGCAATTTCCTGGAACTTTCCACCCCCAACTGTCAATCCATCCCATGGAGGCAATGGTCCTCAAAGACCCACTTCTCTTCAGTTGACAGTTGTCTGGTGCACAATCTGCCAGCTGTGAATGCCTGGAAAGGTGGGAGTTCCAATCAGGACAGGGACAGCTGGGATGAAAGCTTTGTTATTTTTTAACTGTCCAGGGGGTCTGCAGCCAGACTTAGGGATGTTAGCAGGTAATAGAATAGTCGACTAACTGCATGAATTCTTAATGGTTATTTGACTATTTTATAGTCCCCTGGGGGCAAGGCTGGCAGCCAGTGCATTCCTTCCCACTCCTGGGGAGCCCCCCCCCACCCTGTGTTTCTGCCTCTGTATCAGGCAGCAGCGTGGAGTGCCAGACGGGAGCCAATCCAGGAGGGGAGCCAGTTTAAAAACCAGCTCCCCTTGTGAACCAGCTGCCTGCTGCCCCACGCTGCTGCCTCTCATACAGAGATAGCAGCACGGGTGGCAGCAGCCTCTGCCCATGAGGGGTTCAAGCTCCCCGTGGACAGAGGTTGTTGTGTGGGGAGAGGAGGTGGAGGAGGCTACCAGAAAGCAACCTCTGTCTGCGTTGACCTGGGCTGGCCGCAGACAGAGGCTGCTCCATGGGATGCAGAGCAGCCTCTGTCCGCAAGGAACTAGGACCTTCTGTGGACGAGGCGAGGGGGAAGCAGCACCGCAGAGCCAGTGTAGGGGGAGCCTGCTTTCCCTGCCCCCGCTGCTTCTGACAGAGAAGCAGCAAGGTGGGGGGGAAATGGGAGTAGTCAACTAGATTAACCGATAAGCCTAGGTTTATTGGTTAATCGTCTAGTCAAATAACTTGTTTGCATCCCTCACCAGACTTACCCATGGTGTTAGCGACTGTTCTTGGGGCACCTGACTCTATTTTATATGATGATTCTTCTTTCTCTCATAGGGAACACAGAAT